GGAAGAGTCGCTGTAACCTGGATTGAGGTCATGGATTCCACTGTCCTCACATGGTCCTTTAAATCACTGGCTCTCAACCTTCCTTTAATATAGTTCCTCATGTTCTGGTAACCCCCAACCATAAGATTATTTCCATTGTTACTTTATAACTTGGCTACTGTTGTGAATCATAATGCAAATGTCTGATGTGCAGCATATCTGGTATGTGACCCCGGTAGGGTTCATGGCCCACAGGTTGAGAGCCACTGCTTTAAATATCTGGAAGGTAGAAATGCAAGAGAACCACAGGTCCCTACGGTGTGTACAAATGTGAGGATTTAGCCATGAAAGACATTTTTCTAGCCACAAAATATACTACTTAAATATGGTTAAAAATACCAGGACCTTGATAATGCTGGGCATAATTTGCAACAGATATTAGGGGAGACATCACAATGAAAATGGCATTGAGCTTGTAAATTGTGATGGGTTTTGAAAGCCCAGATGCAATTATCAACCTAAACCAGGTTACAGGGACCAAAGTTCCCCGTTTAACTTTCTAATCATTTGGTATTAGAACTAGATGGGTCTTGAGATCTTCATTCATTATTGTCTTTTAAGAGTGCTCCTTTTAAAGGAAACATATCTCTAGTCATATCTCGGTACGAATAAATTCTGATGCTTGTCTATCTCACATTTATTTATTTATTTATATATTTATTTATTGGTGTATGTTGTACATGTGTGCAGTGGCTGTGTGTAGGAGGTGTACTCCTATGTGTGTGAGAATGTGGAAGTTAGAGGTAGACTCTGCACCTCTTTTTCTCTCATTCTCCACTTTAGTTTTCAAGGCAGGATCTCTCACGGGACCCAGAGCTCATCAAGTGGGATGGAAGGGTCAGTCAGTGAGTCCCTGAGGTCCTCCTGCCTCTGGCCCCCCAGTGCTTGGGTTATAGCCCTGCAATATCATAGTCAGTTTTTAAGTCAGTTCTGAGGATTTGAACTCAGGTCCTCATGCTTTCCTGGCAAGCACCTCACACACTGCTCCATCTTCCCAATGCCCTGATGTTATCTTGATTGCACACCTAACTGCAGCGACCTAAGGGCTTAAACTTGGAGTTTCAGGAAAAAAAAAAAGATCTGAAGTAAGTTTACATCAGTTACCAAAGCCAAAAATAAAACAGCCCCTAGATTTTTACACGTGTTGTAAAGGAGTCACAAGATACAGGCAGTTTAATAGGAGACAAATAAGGACATCCAAGAATTTTTATAGGTGCACAGATTATCTGGACCATTGGTGGGGAGAACAGACAACAAGTCCCTGGAACTCCTCATTGACAGCTTGTTAGAGGGCACGTGCTCCAGTCAGAGCCTCTCCAGCATGCCCTTATCCTGTCCACGCCGTTACAACCATTGCTCACAGTAGGACATGTAGCTCTATGAAATTTAAAGACTATTTTTAGCCATGTTCAAACTTCCTCTAGCTAGCCATTTACATCACATGGGTTTGAATTGTGCACACTTTCCCAAGGCATGACCAGAATACTTTATGAAATTTCATCCTTCTGGTTGAGGGTCCTGATTTTAGGCAGTTTATTATCTGGACAGAAAGCAGGCCCGTCAATCCACACACCAAAACTGTACTTCTTTAAGCTAGCCTAAGCCTCAGGAGTGTGTCCTGGTGACTACAGTCGGAACACTGCATATCTTTACAGGACCGGCCTGCAGAACTGTATCTGCTGTACTGGATTTTGACCTACTGACGTCCCGGTGGGGCCAGTTTCTATTTCTTCCACTGTTTTCTTGTTGGATTGCAGGGAATCCCAGGGGTTGACTTTTTAGGAAGGTGTGATTTACTAACATATGTTTCACAGTATTATCTACATCATTCCCCCGCCCCCTTTGACCTCAGTGGCTTCTCTTATGACCTAAGATATTTAGGTAACTCAAAGTTCCTTATAAATGTGATTATTTCTCCTATAACACCATGTTGATGATGTTGTTGACTCATAATTATCCTAAGGAATGAGATAAATTATTCACTAATGGGGAAAAGATAAACCAAAGTTTTGGGTTTTTTTTGTTTGTTTGTTTGTGGTTTTTTTTGGGGGGGGGGTGGAGGGAGATCATGTATGTGTGTGTGTGCGCATGTGCATGTGTGTACAAAAACATATAATGAGGCCCAAATTTCCATTCTCAGTGCTTACACATGGTACTCTCTAGAGCCCTCTGCTCATGTCCCTTCTCAATGACACCATGACTTGGCAGTCAGAAACTGCAGGAATGATATCCTTCTATTGAAGTAGCTCTTTGATGGGTCCCAAGTCCTCAAGCAGGGCTCGGAGTTGGACAGTCCTCAAATTTGGATGTGCAGGAGCGAATGACTGTGCCCTGTCACGAATGACAAGGACGTCAGTATGGCTAAGTTTAGAAGTAAAGCATATTCGTGGTACGTCACAAGCCCAAGGGGAAGATAAGGCCTTCTGTCTTAAAGATATGATGTAGGCTTGAACAAGGCTGTTTTGTACAAAGACAGTGCGTGACATGTCAGCCTCGAAGAACTGACCTTTCTTTCTCCCCCCCACCCCCGCCCTTCTCACAATTCCATTCACAGGCTCTTGCACCCAATTTTTATATGTAAGGGGGTGAAGTGTTTCATTTGGAGCACTGAGAAACAAAATAAGCGTTGTGTGTGTGGTGGAGGGAAAAGGTGTTGTCTCGGGGCTGTGCTGGATGGCTGACTTCGTGGTGTGCAAACTGAATGGCAGCGTGTAGGGAGAACACTGGCTCAGCAGTTCACCGAAAAGCAGCTCCGAACGAATGAGCAGAGCCCAGAAGACTTATATCTCCAATGTAAAGGAGTCGCCTGCAGGCTGATAGGGGCTTTCCCCCTGCAATTTAAAAATATGTGGAAAATGGACTCTTTTGGCGAGATCTGATCGTGTTTTTGATGACTACTCTAGAAGTCATTTACTGCAATAAATATTCAGTGGTCAAATGTTATTTTGGACAGAGTAGAAAATCACTACTATAATTCTTTTACTTGCATTCACCTTTCCTATTGCAAGCATCATTTATTACATTATATTTAGTTTCCAAGTAACTTTTTAAAATTACTGTCTATAATTTGGCCAAACATGAGGAAGTAATAATCAAAAAAGTAACAAAATGCCTATATAAGCATCCTGGGTCTGTATAGACTGTCCGACCTTCAGCAAGCGTTTGCTAGAACAATACTGAATGCTGGGAGAGAAATGGCATGAAAGGGTTCAGCTCCCTGCTCATGGAAGAGCTCACGAGAGGACCTAGAAAGATGTCCACTGCCGAAAACAAGTCCCTCTCTAGTTGCTGCAGATATTTTTAGTTGAAAAGACTAACATTAAAAATAAGTCAGCTCACTTATCAATCTCAGGAATGTGAATGGTAGCGTCAGAATGATCTTGTTCTGAATAATTCTTCAGTATGCTTGAAAAATGGAAATATTTTATTCCAAATGAAAGCTGCTTTCAATTACACAGTAAAAAGTCAGTAGATATAACACCAATGCACTGTTAATGCACACACAAACACACAGAGAGAGAGAGAGAGAGAGAGAGAGAGAGAGAGAGACAGAGAGACAGAGAGACAGAGAGACAAGAATTCTCTTGCAGTCCTAGGCAGATACCACAGGCCATCAAGTGCTTGCTGAACAAGCATGAGGACCTGAGTTGGATCCGCAGAACCACGTAAAATATCTGGGCATGGTGGCACACACTTTTAACCCCAGCACTGGGAGACACAAACGAACAGCTCCCTAGAGGATAACGGCTACCCAGCTCTATCTAATAAGTGAGTTCTCTAGCGAGAGACCCTGTCTCAAGAAATCAAGAAACAAGGTAGATGTTCCTTGAGGAAAGACAAGACAGGCTGACTTCTGGCCTCTACATGTACACACACACACACACACACACACACACAGTGATCTTTCGCATGAACCATAAAAGATGGAAATGAAAAGTTTACTAGTAAAACCAAGAAGTGTTGTAAATGTCCACACATAATTGGTTTTGGTGCTTAAAGCCACATTCTCACTGACTGAGATGAGAATCCTAAGGAGCCTTAGGTGCTTCAGCAACTTGTTTCTTAATGTTCTCTATGAATATTTCCTGCTCTATATGAATTTATGGAGTTTGTGGTCTAAATAGATCAGCTTTATCAAACCAGGGCACTGTTTTTTGGCACTGGTCCTACAGACACCACAGTTGCACTCAGTAATTGCTGACAAAGCAATGGTTTGGGAAGACTGTTAATACTCTGGAAGGAGAGTCTGGGAGATGTGTTCTCTGAAGTAAGCAGCAGAGCTGGCATTGGCTCTGTGCACTAAGCAAATCCCACTGAACCACACCCTTTCCTTCTGAATGAGCTGGGAAATGTTGCCAGCTCTGCCTTTTCCCTTAGAAATCATGGGGCTATTTATTTGGAAACACGATGCACTGGATTTACCTTCAAGGCTTAATAGGGCCATGGTGTGTGTGGGAGGGGTACAAAACAGGAGAATTTGGGAGATGGAACTGTATATGCAAAACTCATCTGCTTCTCACAGGATACTGGGAGCTGCAAGAGTTTAGGCTGGTAGGACAGGACGCAAGAAAGATGCAACGAGAAGTCAGGATTCTCCTCAGAAATCCTAGCCAGGAGTGTTGCAAGAGCCTTGTAACTAGAGAAGGGGAAATACTGAAGCATCAACGAGTGGTGACTAAGGAGGAGCAGAGAGAACTTTGCCCATTTGCTAAGATTCCAATCCCGTGTAATGGGTGATCTCATTAACAAGGTGTATCCTTGGGTGAGGAAGAGTAGGGTAGATGAGGGTGCAGTCTAAAAGTGTTGAGGAGAACTACCTTGTGAGTCTGAGTCCTACTAGACAGACCAGGGACAGAGGTGTGAAGCTGGAGATCACCCTGGGGGAAGCAGGTGGGCTCTGGGAAGATTACAGGGGTTTAGGCAAAAGGAGCAAATGTAAGGTTAAGCAAAGAGAAAGATACCTGAAAGTTGAGTTCAGATGATTCAGGTTCGGTAGAATCATACCCGAAGGGAAACCAGGAGCTCACTGATACAGAAAGTGAGAGAGAGGAGACTTTACCTAAGTGTAGGCACTCACCAGGGTCTAATGCCAGCAAGCTAAAAGTTTCTCCTTCATACTCACAATTATTATTTTTATTATGTAATACTTGGTTTCTCAACATTTATAACAATGGCAAAAGAAAATTCAGTTTCTCTCTTCATTTTTATTAGAATTACGATCTCTCATGTATTTTTTGATTATTTTAAAAATACTTTTTAAGGCTGAGTATGATAGCACATGCCTTTAATCCCAGTACTCAGGAGAGAGAGGCAGGGGAATCTCTGAGTTCAAGGCTAGCCTGAACTCAAATCAATTCTATCAATCAGTACCAATCAGTAGTCTGGGGCTACAGAGAGAAACTCCATCTCAAAATATAAAAATTAAATAAAAGTAAAAATACTTTAAACAGATGCCATGAACATTGTCTATGAAGGAATTAAGATCATGCCAACTCAAAATATTCCCCTCTGGTATATTATTTTGAATTAAAGAAACTTGAACAGTGACAGATACAAAATCATTCTGATCTTCCATTTCTTTAGAGCAAAGTAGCTTTATTTGAAGATGATACAATAGTATACATAACTGACTCTAAAAATTTTAGTGGGACAGACCTATGGCTGATAAGTACTTGCAGCCAAGTATCTAGATGCCAGATGAACTCACAGAGATCAGTAGCCCTCCTATATACAAATGACAGATGGACTGAGAGAGAAATCAGAGAAACACCACCCTTCACAACAGCCACAAATAGTAAAAAATATCTTGAGGGTAGCTTTACCCAAGCAAGTTTTATATGATAAAACTTCAAGTCATTCAAGAAAGAATTAAGTTAAAGAAGATATCAGAAGATAGAAAGATCTCCCATGCTCATAGATCGGTAGGATTGACATAGTAAAACTGGCCATCCTACAAAAGCAATCTACAGATTCAATTTAATCCCCATCAAAATTCCAACACAATTCTTGGATATTGAAAGGACAACATTCAGCTTCGCACAGAAACACACACACACACACATAAAAGGATAGCTAAAATAATCATGAATAATAAAAGAACTTCTAGGGTATCACCATTTCTAATTTCAAATTGTATTACAGAGCTGGGTCTTCTGGAGGCATTTTCTTAATTGAGGTTCCCTCCTTTCAGATGACTCTAGCTTGGGTCAAGCTGACTAAACTAGCCAGCACACAGCTTCTACAGCAACAGGATTTACGTGCATATGAAGGCACAGAGACGGAGACAATGTGCACATGGCCTACCAGTCGGGATTCTGGAACTGAAAGGAGAAGTGGACACATGTTCCCACCCCAACCCAGGAGCAACCTCTAATTGATGACCATTTGCAAAGGAAACTTTAGCTTGCTCCTAGGGAGTTTTACTGGGGAAACACACTACTCTAAAGGGTCATTAGTGGATAATGAACAGAAAATGAACTCACCAGGCGGTGGTGGCACACGCCTTTAATGCCAGCACTTGGGAGGCAGAGGCAGGTGGATCTCTGCGAATTCAAGGCCAGCCTGGTCTACAGCGTGAGTTCCAGGACAGGCTCTGAAGTTACACAGAGAAACCCTGTCTTGATAAAACAAACAAATAAAAGCAAAAAAAATAAAAAGAACTCAGTGGCTTTTTTGGAAGTACTTTATCCCATAATGATATGTCAGGGTTCTTCCTTTTTTGAAAAAAAAAATCTTATTGTTTTTTATTTTACTTACATCATTTTTATTCAACTATTAAATATGTAAAATGGATACACAAGATACTATTAATTTAATTATAGCTTCATAGATACCTCTCTAATCGTGAACTCCTTCCTCTCTTCAAAGGTATGCACTATGTAAATTTATTATTTAACAATCCATTTTTCTTTACACTGTTTTGATATATGTTTCTAATAGAAACCACTCTTCAAATTAAAGTAATTCTTTCCTATGGCCTATGGATCATTTTTCATCTTAAAAGTCTGCACTAGGTTCTGTTCAGCTTTCCCATATGTATTGAATCTTTCTATAGTCAAGAGAATAAAATTTTAAATCACATGCTCTGTAAGATTACCATCAAATAGTAAAAAGACTAAAAATAACTGAAGTGATATTAAAATAGCTTGGGATAGTATTTCATTCAATGAATATAAAATTGCTTAAGACATTAAGGTAGTTATTTGTGGTTACTTGGAACAGTTTGTTGCTAATAAATTCCTAATCTATCCTTGATCTGTAAAGCCATTCTTAAATTGGTAAGTACAATTGAGTGCTAAATGTATTCAGTTTTCATATTCATTAACAGTATGAAAAGATCTGCTATGAAAGGTTTTATGACACATATGTCCTTATTTATCCAGAATACTGATTAGAAAAAGGATATCTGTGAATACATGATGTTATCGTGTAGCCTTCTCTGGAATTTCTATACAGAAGTAGGTGAAATTCTGTAAGGAGGATAAATGTCTCCCAACAGGCCTGTGTTCTCACCTCAGCAGACAATTATCATTTTGCTTCAGGCTCATCTGGTGTCGGAGTTTGCCACACAAGACAAAGTGTGGGTGCCAATTTTTAACAAAACTCATAAAACTAAATACATTCATGATGCTAATCAAAGCCAGCATAAATGGTAACGTACTGTATACAAAACTAGCCACCATAAAATAAAACAGGAAAAACAATCTTTTGAAAGAGCTGGGGAGATGGCTCCGTTAGTAAAGAGCACATTGCACAGACACGAGGAGCTGAGCTGGACCACAGAACTTACGTAGAAAGCCTGGCCTAGAGGAAAGGCAGAAACAGGAAAAGCCCTGGAACTTGCTCAGTCTTAGCCATATCTGGAGGCCCAGGTCCTAGTGGAAGATAACGTGGATGGCTCCTGAACAATGTGTTGATCTCTGGCTTCCACGCACACACATACACATATATGGACATATAAAGTAAATCAATAAGCCCCCAACTTTAAAAGTTCTTTTCACAAATCATTGGTCACTTGATTATTCTCATTGTTTTATTAGTTTCTTATAAGCCACATATTTTTGTGACCTGAATATTAAGCCTAGGAACTCCTTTCCTTCAAAATTTAGGACTCATTTTTTTTTCTAAATCATAATTTATAAAAAATAAAAGGCCAACAATTTAACTTTATGTCAGAAACGCTGTTAGTCTTTTTCCTCAGGCTCGGCCGTGAAGAGGTGATAAGTGCTGAATGCTACTTGCTTCTCACTGAAGTAGGTGAGTTACATTCCTGTGCTGGGGGGCTAAGCAAGGGTCATTTCCAGTTTCGGAAAGGATGCCTTCCCTGAGCAGGCGAGCACCAGCCCCATCGACAATACCGTGCCATCCTTAGACTCTGTCCCAGTAAAATAGTAAGAGAGAACCGACTCCTGAAATGTGTCTTGTCTTCTGTCCTCTGCACATACACTATGCACGGGGCCACCTGTGTCTGCGTGCACACATGTGCCTGTGTGCGTGTATGCACGTGTAGACCCACATGCACCCCTTCCCCATCACACACACAACTGTAATACATAAAATTAAATCAAAAAGTGAAAAGTCTACATTTGGAAATTATTTGATTCTATGCTCATTGAGCGTTTATAACATAAACCCTCCTGTGGCTTTTCCAACATTCTTGGGTGTCTTTAAAATTGAACATCTGAAAGCTCAATTCAAACAAAACCAAGTCGCTGGTATACCACTTGTGACTAAAGTCTTAAGTCACCAAGCTTTTTGGGTTGAATGAATAAGGTACCATTGGGCTGAATGCCTGTCAGGAACAATTAAAACAGCTGGAAGATGGGTTCGGAGCTGCATTCTCAATGGTTAAAATAAGCAAAGTCTAGTGGTTTAAAAATGTATGCTCCAACTCCCCCCCAAATATGTGTATATTGATATGATGGTGCTCATGTGTGTCAATGTGTTATCACATATGTCTATGCATGTGTGTGTATGTGTGTAAGTCAGAGGTATTCATCATGTGTCTTCCTGCATTGCTTTCCACTTATATATCTAAAAAGGGTCCGTTGTTGAACTGGAGACTGGTGATTCATCTAATCTAGCTAGCCAACTCAATACAGACACCCTTTTTCTGTCCCCAGAGCACTGGGATCACAGCAAAGTTGCCTTCCCCGCTTTTATAGGTACTGGGGATCTAAACTCACACTTCCTTAATAATGAACCACCCTTCTAGGCACATCTACTTCCCTATTAAGTCAAATTTGGCCATTGTCATGTTCGGGTGCAAATGAATGTTAGAATGAGGTGGCATGGGTTTTTCCATTCTGTCCTTTCTACTACTAAATTGTCTTTTTATAAGAATAAAATTTTAAATACAAACTGAGTTGATTTATTAACTGACTTCTCTTAGTTGTACTGACAGGTTGTTTCAATTGGCTTATTCACAACCCTTGGTTCTCGATAGAGTAGGCATATTTGTGCCTTTTCTGAACTCCTTGCATTTTTGCCCATATTTCCCTTTTTATGTAATATGAAGGTTAAAACTGGTTATAATTTGTAAATGTTTCCCCCCAAAATGGAAATGAATGTTCTGGGTTGTGCCAACACTATCCTTCAATAAACATAACCAGAGGTCTTTGAGGAAATAGCTGGTTTATGGATCAGGAACTACACCAAATGAGTATGGAGAAGCTCATGGTGCCAGAAGAAAACCTTAAAATGATAGGAGTATGTTTAAGAGACATCCACTTCAGTTGGCAAAGCCAAGGCCCAAACTGGAACGATGTGAAAGAAGAAAAAATAAGATAGCCTTGCATTAGCTGTGAATAATGTGAGTTGCTATCTCAGTCCTCTGACAAAATACCCGACAAAAGCAATGTAGGAAAGAGAAGAGATTTAGTTCAACATGGCAAGGAAGGTGGTGCAGAAAGAGAAGAAGAGACTGTTGCATCAACAGTCAGGAAGCAGAAAGTGAAGAATTCCAGAGCTCAGCTAGGTTTCTCCTTTTTATGTAGTCTGAGATTCCGGTCCTTGGCATAGTGCTAC